GCATGTGATAGGATTTGACCAATGAACATGCTCCAAAAAGAGACCAACTGAGCATGTGCAAAACTATGTTACATAACAGGGAACCACCCCCTAATTAGATAGAATGAATATATATTACAGAGCAAAACTATAAAAGCCGAATCTTGGCAGAAGGTGGGGTTGTTGCTCACTTTCCTGGGCCAACCTGTACTTTGCTGACTGAGGTGTGTATGCTTTACATTTTTAAAAAAAGATGACCAGTAAGGGGATCTTAACCCTTGACTTGGTGTTGTCAGCACCATGCTTACCCAGTGAGCTAACCAGCCATCCCTATATGGGATCCGAACCCATGGCCTTGGTGTTGTCAGCACCACACTCTCCCAAGTGAGCCACAGGCCGGCCCCTGTATGCTTTATTTTTGTGGTAAGCTTACTTTTAGCAGGTAGCTGCTCACTCTCTTGAGCCAGCCTGCACTTTATACTAAACTTAAAGTGTGTATTTCTCACTTCTGTGTTAAACTTGGTGTGGGCCCTGCTCAGTCTCTGGAGCTATGCAGCACTCTCTCTATGAAATCTGCAATTCTTATTTGTTACATTAAATCTGTTCTCACTTTCTACTGTGATCTGCTCTTGAATTCTTTCCTCTGGTGGGGTCAAGAACCTGATAAGAAGATGGTGTGCGTTTAGGCTGGCTAATGGGCCTCCCCAGACTATTCCTCTTGCATCAAAACTACTAAATGAATTAAAGTATTTTAAGATTGTTTTACCTAAAATAGTTTAAAATATGTTGTTTTGTTTTGCTGCACTTATTAATTAACTTAACCAACCATCGCTACATAAATTGCACAATATTTCCACTTAAATTTAGTGGAAATCCTGCAAAAAAGATTCCTTTAGTCTAAATATATAGAATTACTCACTTCTATATTTGGAAGAGTTATTGTCACCTGTTCACCTTTGCCGATCTCAAGCTCTCCTTCACAAGAAGTGTCAATAGAAGCAGGTTTAAAGTCATCTAAAAACAGATACAAATACCAATTTTTGTAGGAAGGAACAATACCTGAACATCAAAAATATAAACATGTTTCAGAATGGTAAGTCATTTTTCAAAAGCCAGTAATTAAAATGGTTTATAATAGTCTTCATATTGTAAATGAACAAACAAAATTCAATCCAGTTTATTTCTGTATGCATAGTTCTGAGAAAAAAGAAATAGCTATACTCTGAAACATTACTCTTAAACCCAGCTCCCTTAGAATCCTATTTAGACCAAGATGAACTAGACTAAGATGTTCTACTGCTAAAAACTAAATAATGTCTGTGTTTTCACAACTTTTGAAAAAACTGACATAGGTAGAATATTTAATTCTCAGTCTTTTTCTCCCATAAATTTTTCTTAAATCACCTTTGGTGCCTACTATAAGTACTACCTGTCTGCCATTCTAGCAGAACAAAATGAATGAATATACACCAAATACAAATTAATGAGGAAACTCAATTATATATATCTATATATATATACCACTAAAGGATGTGTAAATTTAACCAAATCTGCCACTTTAGAAGAACTAAAATAAATTTTAATTTTGAGTTAAATCATAGCTCAAATGATACCATTAAAATCTATCACCTAGGACTGGCTGGTTAGCTCAGTTTGTTAGAGTTGCAGTATTTTAACACCAAGGTCAAGAGTTTGGATCCTCATACCGCCAGCCACCAAAAAGAAAAAGAAAAAAAGAAAAAAAAATCACCTAGAAGGAATTTAGGGCACTGAGATATTTCACATGCTATATAAGCTTAAAAACATCTAAAATATGAAAGCCATTTAAAAACAATCCATGTCAATATACATCAATGAATGATAATTCTCATGTATAATTCTTTATGTTATGTTTAAAGTTAAATCTTTATTAAAATAAATCATACATGCAAAATATAACATAAATTATAAGGTTGATGAACTTTCACAAATAACTTGTGTATAACCAGCAACCCAGACCAAGAAATAGAACATTACCAGCGCCCCAGAGGTCCCTCCCAATTATCACCCCTGTCCCAAGAGATTTATCCTTACATTAACAAAAAAGCAAGAAAGGCAAAAGTCTAAATCCAAAGTAATGAATATTTATTAATGGAATTTAGAAAATTATAATGGACAGATTCTTGGGAAAAGAGAATCTTCCAATGCTTATCAAATCATCACTCTGTCAATAAACAAAGGCTGGCTCTGCTTCACAATGACAATTATAATAGCCAATATCAATGGAATGCTTACTATATGCCAGGTACCATGCTTAAGTCTTCATATTTAATTCCCATAACAACTCTATGAAAAGAAATGAATTTCATTCCTCTATTCCTTAAACAAATATAAATGCAAATGAATAAAAACAATTCATACAAAGTATTCTTTATAATGTAGTTTATTCTTCATGCTACTTTGATTCAAAACTGAATACAAGCAATTAAAATCTCAATGTTTATTCCTGGATATAAAAATAACATAAGCAATACAAAAAAATAAGAGTTTTGATTCACAGTGTGTCTCTAGGAAGCACAACTGAGGAATCAAAAGATAAAGATTAGACTGAAAATAAATTGGGGAGTTTGTTAGTAGTAGCAAGGTAAGTGACAAAGGCGAAAGATGTAATTAAGGTGTTAAGTTTTAGATGCTAGAATGAGAAAGTGAACTGAGGGAAATAAGTGTTAATTAATGGCCAACTGATGAAAAGACAGTGATACTGAAGGAAAAAATAAGAACTGAGCTTGAGTATCAAAGAGATAAAGAGAAAGTAGAAAGCAAAAGAGAAGCCAGAAAAATCTAAGAGAATGAACACAGATATAAAACAAAACTATAATAATAACAGCTATTACTTATGTATTAATCAATTTGTAAAGTTTTTCTAATCACTCCTATCTCAAAGCCTCACAACAATCCTGTAAAGTAGTGAATATCCCTATAATACAGATACAAAGTGAAGATGGAAGAAATTGAGTTCCTTGCCCAAGATTATGCAACTAATATTTGCTAAAGCTAGAATAAGGAACCACAAACCCCATTTAGAATAAAGAGATAAGAAGTTGGCCAAAATATATCAACATCATCAGGGAGAGAAGAAAACTCCAGTTTGAGCAAGCAAATATCATTTGTGAACTTAAAAGGAGAACCAAAGTCATTTTATAAGAATGTATATAAGGTAGAAATGAAATAATTACAACTTAAAATCTTCCACTATTAATAAGTTATCACATGATCATGCCCTATGTGGGTGCCCACAGTAATGAACTTTGTTGGTTCTCAACTTTCTAATTTGAACTGTCCTTCAAGTTTCTGCTCATCAATCGAAGTATTCTTCTAAATATTCCTCTCTCTCCTTCATAGCTCATATCTAGTCACTCTATCTACTTTCATATCCTTCAGAGCCATCCCCTTCCATTCTTTCTGAGGACAATCTAGTTTTCAATCAACTAAAGGCTATTAGAATTCCTATAGCTCACCTTTCTCCTCTTTTCTGTCCTTTTGCTCTCTTAGAACTTGAATCTTATTTCAAAGTCCCTTCTTCCTTGATGCCATTTCAGGGCACAGCCATTTCCCTACTCTCCAGAATCTCAACAACTTCTTCACTCCTGTAGCACTCACTATACCATTCATCAAAACCTAACATAAACTACCTGATATTATTTACCTCCTTGTGGATATGTCCTACTGAACTGTAATTTTCTAAAGCACAGTGCTTCATACTTTAATTTTGCCAGAACTGTAGCTTTAGCACAGTGCCTTTAACATAATGGATATATTCACATAAAAGATCTTTGTAGTTGACATGGGTTCATATTGTTCACTCTTCTCTGAAACACTTCCAAATTTATTTTAAGTTTATAAAGGGTGCTAAATTATGTGTAAAATGCTTATTTCTAACTATTTCCTGTGGATCAGATTAATCTCTACTTCAAGACTCTCAATCCCTTTAGGGTAGATAATGCCATATGCCTTTTGTATTTTTCATTAACACACTTCTGCTCTCACAGAGCACACCTGTTACTTAATATTGGACAATAAATATTCTCTATGATAAATATGTAAAACATTAGAAATTACATGCTAGAGTAAAACCATGGCCCTCTGACCTCCATTATTTTTCTGAGAGTAGCACAAAGAGCAATACTGGGAGGTATGGTTGTCATTTAATTACAGCTAAATGATGGTTTAAAGGAGAGGCCAGCCAGCAACCTAAACGGTAAAGAAGACTAGTGGGAACCATAGTGACTTAAAGAATGAATAAATCCAATCTCAGGAAGGCAGCTACAACTCTGTTCCAGCCAACTCCTGTCAAAAGGAAATATGAGTTGGGTATTGCCAGGTTACCTTCTGATTTTTAAAGAGAAGCTGGAAATCCAGCTTTTTATATTTAAAAAAATCTTGATTTTTAGGCATTTGCAACTAATTCAAGAAGAAATAACAACTGTGTGCATCAACGTCTCTAGAGTCAAACTCACCCCATAGGCAGTTAATGTATAACCTCTGTTTTAGTATTTACAAAGTGATTTTTTCTTTATATTATCACTTTTGATATTCACACAAGAAGAAATAACAACTGTGTGCATCAACGTCTCTAGAGTCAAACTCACCCCATAGGCAGTTAATGTACAACCTCTGTTTTAGTATTTACAAAGTGATTTTTTCTTTATATTATCACTTTTGATATTCACAACAAAACTTTGAGTTGAATATTTGTAACCACATTTTACTAAAGGGGAACTCTTCTGAAGTAATGAAATCAACAAATGATGAAGTCAGGAACTCAAGCCACATACTCTATCCACTCATATTATACAGCTCTTTGTCTTATATCCATGGTTTTTTTTTGGGGGGGGGGGTAGCTGTCAGGTGCAGGAGTCTGAACCCTTGACCTTGTTACCAGCACCACACTCTCCCAAGTGAGCTAACCAGCCAGCCCTATATCCATGGTTCTTAACTTCTGTGTACGTTTGTAGGGAGCAGTATTAGGACATGAGGGACAGTCACAAGTCCCTATGAAAACCCAATGAAAATTATAGACCAATTATAAATCCTCTCTACAGAAAAATGCATATCTGAACATATCAAACACTGTGAAATTTAAAGGGGTTCACAGGTCCTTGAAGCCTATATAGATGCCTGTAGTACATAATATTAATTGCAAGAGACAGAAATGTGCTCAAAACATCTGTTGCTTTACTTAATGATAAGTATGAACAAATCCAACAAGATTATTCTAAACCTATTTACATTTCTAATTATTCTACTATTAGGATTGATAAATTCTACTTTTTATTACTTGTTACATCAAGTAGTGTCGTCTTTTATTTGTCTTCAAATAACCTTTTTTAAGTATACAACTTGTAAGTTTCAAGGGGGGTCAAATATAGTTCTAAAATTATAGAATTTGTCGAACAATATCATGTTCATGCTTTCCATATGCTTTCAAATGTGAAATGTATTCTCTTCTGGGGGAAAAAAGAAGATAATAATCACAATTCTTTTAACTTATTAAGACAAGTGAACAGATATGATGTTGATGGGGGGGAAAGGGGAGTGGGAGTGGAGAGAGGGAGGGAGGATAAGGAGGAATTGATAAAGGGACATAAAAATCAACTACATTGTATATTGATAAATTTAAAAAAATGTATTCTCTTCTATGTTGCTATGATTGCATACCAAATTGTTTATTTTTCAGTTCTCCTTGGTTTGGAAATACCACCACCAATTTTACTATTTATTTATTCTCTGTGGATTTCCTTCATCTATGTTATCTTTTTCAGGTTTACAATATAGTTATATAGATTGCACGAAGAGTAAAAAAACATTTTCTAATTTGTATTTAATATTTTTTTGGTCAATGTTTACCACTTTTTATTATTTTGGCTGCAGCATAACAAAATATCAAAATGTATCTTCATAAAAGGATCTACAATTACTATCATAAATTTATTTCCTGGGATTTGAATGAATCAACTAACTCCAAAACTCACACTCTTTCCAATATACCACACTGATCAAAGAACCTTAACTGTAAATATAATTTTAATTCTATTTTTCATTAGTGAACTTTCTGATATTTGCTTACATCAAAGCTTAACTACCCTTTTATGGGGGGGTGAGTCCACTTAAAGCCTCAGACAATTTTTCTGTAGTCACTGCTCATCAGCTCATCATTTCATGACAGCAAAATGTGGTGTCATTTACAAGCTTAGGAATTTCACTGTTTATTCCCTTATCTGGATACAAATTGTAAAACTATTACTAGCCCAAATCCAAAATCGATTCTAGTGGGTCCTGTTTTTCAAACTCTTCTACCCAATGAAGCGTTTAATGTTAAACTTATCATTGATAGAACACCCATGCCCTCCCTACCACATGCTAGACTATCTTTTTGATAGGTTTCATTGCCAAGCCCTGATAAATACTTTTTCAAAGTCTAAGTAAATTACATTCACTGGCACTCCTCATACACATATGAATATAACTCTTCAAAAATAACAATGGCTTCTATTTATTCTCTACCATGTGCCAAATACTGTAATAAGGTGCTTATGCTATCTTATTTAAGCCTTACAAAAACCTCCCAAATGTAGATATTATTATTATAATTTTACACAAAAGAAAATAGAGAATGAAAACTTAGAGAATGTTCTCAAAGTCCCACTACATATATAGATAGTGAAAGCTAGGATTCACATCCATGTTTATCTAAAGACTTAGCATATCAGACAGGCATAATTGCCCCTGTACATAAACACAGAATATTACTTTCTCCCAGATTACATTCGCTTGAGTGTTCGTTATAAATTAGGTCCACCTGCCCCGTATGAACATCAGATCCACTATTCTGCAGTTACCATCCCTCACTCTGAGTTCTTAAGAGTGAGGACCACATTGGAAATAAAACTGTCTTCCAAGGATAGACTGGTTTTATTGAAATAAATCTAAAATGATTATGTGCCACTACTATGCCTGCTTCAACAAGAAAAAAAATAAGAGGTGAAAACCTTTCTAATGTCTTCCACAGAACTGAGAGTATATTGAAACATCTGGGTTTATTTATTATTGTAGTTATTATTATTGTTATTGTTTTTTCTTTGTTTATTCTCATTCTTATACTCGGATCATTCTTTCTTTGACTTTGAACATATAATTCCAGTTTTAAGAACCTTTATAAATGAAAGGCTTTGAAAATATGAGTAAAAAGCACCTTCAAGGTGCTTTTCAAAGGCTATTTTTTCATTCACTTAATTTGAGGTTCACTCCCTTAAAAAAAGACTATATACCCAAGTTATATAATTTTTTTTTTTTTTTTTTTTTTTTTTTTTTTTTTTTTTTTTTTTTTTTTTTTTTTTTTTTTTTGTGGCAGCTGGCAGGTACGGGAATCCGAACCCTTGACCTTGGTGTTATAACACTAAGCTCTAACCAACTGAGCTAACTGGCTAGCCCTAAAAATACATTCTTAAGCAAATTTTTGTAATCTTAAAACTTGTAACTTGATACTAAGGCTACTACATACATAAGAAGAAAGAAGAAAGGAGAGAGGAGATACTATTTGAGAAAAAAGCATGGAGAAACCAGGTAAGAACCATCTCATACTTTTGGGAAATGGAACTGAAGAGAGAAACTGCAGAGCCAGCACAGCACTAGCTGTCTCACTGTGACAGTGTATGGATGGAAGCTTTGGATGACAGAGTATGATAAAGAAGAATAAATCAGGGACACCGTTGAAAATCTGTTCACAAATATCTCCCCCATTTATTCTATCAATTGGATATTAATTTTGCTTAATAAAACTCTTATATTAAGACCACTGGTTTGTCATCTCTTTACTCTGAGTTACTGTAACTAGATTGTCTACAACTTAAGCAAACTTTTGGAGTATGTGAGTTTTATTTGGGTGTTTTGATTGTACCATGGAACAATTCAGAGTAATAACCATAAAGGTCTCTGGACAGTCTGAGGACAGAATGACTGATGAGACAATAAGAAAGGGCAGGGCTGGATAAAGGAAGTGAAAAAAATACAGATTTGCCACAGAAATATGAAAGGTTATGATTCGATGATCTCAAAGTTTCCTTCCAGCGCTAGATTTCTATGCGGACTATCATGCAAAGAATGAATGTTTTACATACGAAATCATAAATGCTATATTTTCCCTCCTGGATCTATACCATTCAACTGTTAAAGCAAAAGAGCTCCCTTTTCTACCTCAACAATATAAGAGAGTAATTTATTAAAACAAGTTCTAGAGGCCATAAGAAAAACCAACGGGTAGAAATCATAGGGACGTAAATATCTTCCAAATAAATAACACACCTTCAAAACTTTGATAATCAGTATTTGATAACTGACTGAATAAAACCTGGGGTCCAAAAGAGATAGAGATTATGGGATGGTTGAGAACCTCTCCCCAAGAACACTCTAAAAAGCAACCCTCATCAGCCAGTGGTGAGAAAAAGCGGAGAGAATATTGTCTCACCAATCTCAAGGCATTCCCTTCCCCCGCATTCAGTCCTGTTCCCGTCCGTTTGTCACATTATTTTCCTTTCCAACTCTGCATTACTCACCTGTCACGTCTGTCTCCACAGTCACCGCTGCACACCTTCTCCAAGAAGTTTCCCTGTCTGCTGGTCTTAAATCCCTCTGCCCAGTTTACCCACACCTGCTCCTTCACCAACCGCTTAGGACTCCAGGCAGGGTAGAGCACCGCGTTGGGGGTCGCCCCCCACCCCCATCTCCTGCAGAGTAAGAGGAGACTCCAGGAACAGAACTCGGAGGGGGTTGTGCCCGTACACCCCCATCTGGGAGGTTCCCCATGTTTCCCCGGGGCCGTCCTGACTCACAGCGCACAGTGTGGAAGGCGCAGCGTGGATGCTTCTCAAAACTCTTTCCTAACTTGAGAACCCGTTCGCGACGGTCAACGTGCGAGAGTCCCGCCGCTCCATTCATCATTTTCCTCCGGTTCCGACTTTGCCTCAGCCACCGGCGCTCACTACCATCCGCCACCTCAGCCTGAAGCAACTGCACTAGCCACCACCAGCGCAGCCACCACAGACTCCGCCCCGCGCCCGATGCGCGCCGTCCCACCGGGTGCCTCTCGCGTTCTAATTGGCTGCCTGGCAAAGAGCGCCCCGCCCCTTGGCTCGGAGGATCCTGGTCCAGCGTCTCGGCGCCTAGGTCCCACGTTGCTACGCAGCCGCCCTGGTAAAGTCGTAACTCCGTGGTGCTTGGTGAGTAACGGGTCGTTTGGTGGAGAAACGCTAAGCGAGGATGAGGTAACGGACTGAGGTGGCGGATGGGGAAGGAGAAGGCCCTGAGGTGACGGGAGTCCCGGACCTCAAGCTTTTGGACCAAGTGAACCGGCTTGTAGGAGCTTTTAACTGGAGAATCGGCCTGCTCCAAGCCCTTTCTGTGGAGATCTGTCGTGGAAACTGAGGCCTGGGGAGGGGCGGTATTTGGGCACAAGGCCTCGGGTCTTGCCTAAGGCCTCGTAGAGCCAAAGCGGGGTCTAGAATCTGGGGAAAAGGAGACCGCGGCCCAGGAGCCTCGGTCCTTGGACCTGACTGAAGCGAGGCCGTTACCCCGACAATAGTTTTCTGACCTTTCTGTACCAGAGGAAGCTACCGGTGGTATTAGGACTGGAAGAGGGGACTTGTAAGGAGGGAAAAAAGAGGATTCGGAGTTAGGAACTGCTGACGTTTAGGATCACATGTAACTGGATTGTATTGGGTTTCCTTCTTTCATTTCTGTCACAGTGATCCGTGGAGGCAGTAACGAGCATGGCCAGGGAGGCGTGATTCCCAAAGGATAAGGCTGAGGCTGGAGCTGGGGCTCTGGCAACAGGGTAGTAACATTAATAACTGACAAATCTCATTTTTTTTTTTGGTCAGAGTTCATGAATTTAATGTAAAGGTGGGAGAAGTGGTGTGTTAAAGGAGAAGCACTCAAGAGAAAGTTTACAAATGGTTGCCATAACAGGTGGTTGTTTTTCAGGATAATTATGCAGTTAAACTGTACACCTTTACTTACCTTCTACTATAGGCAGATGTGTCAATTTATTGTTCCAGGTGGGTGGGTGAATGTGTCTCTCTCAACTTGCTTATCTAAATTCTACCCTTTTGAGGTACACTAACAATGTTTTATATGGTAGTTAAGTGCTCAGGTTCTAGAGCCAGAACTTCTCAGTTTGAACCGCAGCTTCATACTTACGTGTGACTGTGCAAACTAAACTCTCCAAAATATGCTCTTCCTTAAAATTGGGGGAAAATAACTGTACCTATCCCTTAGCATTGTTGCGACGATTGAATGAGGTAATACATGAAAGCAATTAGAATAGTAACTCACTCTCCAAATTGTTAAGGCTCAGTGCTACTGTCATACTATATTTTGAGATCATCCTTGGTGGCTGCCTTTTCTTTTAAATCTTGAATTATTAGGGATTATTAGGAAGTATTATTGACTTATTAGAGAGATAGGAATTGCTATTTTGTTTACAGCTGAAACTAGTTCAGAGAAGCCCAGTCCTCTGACTTTATGGTCTGTATTCTTATCTGTGTCATCTACTTAGTACTTAACATATTATATTTTATATACTTAAGTATTTTATTTTGTGTATATGTACGTGTGTGTGTGTTTATGTAAACATACATAGTTTTTTTTCCCAATCAGGGATATTATCAGGGAATCCGACCTATATAAAATCTTTGTGACCCTTGCGTATGACATATTGCTCTACACACGTTTGGTGATGATGATAATGTTTTAGTGATGTTCTATTTTGGTAGCCAGGAGGCAAGAACAATGTTTTAAGAGGTCAGCTGCAAGGCTGGTGGCGGGTCCTGGGCCCACATTCACATGGGAAACCGCGACAGCGCACTGCCTGGCACAGCCCCACCCTGGCATGTGGCCACAAGTCCAGTGGCATCAATTCTCTTTCCAGCGGTTCAGGGAGTGCCTGTTTCCCCTTGTTTTAGTCTGTTTGTGTTGCTTATAACAGAATACCTGAAACTGGGTGATTTATAAAGAACAGAGGTTTGTTTGGCTTATGATTCTGGGACAGCTGCATCTGGCCTGGGCCTCAGGCTGCTTCTACTCATGGAGGAAAAGCAGCAGGCAGCTGGCGGGTACAAGCAGATCACATGGCAAGAGGAAGCAAGAGAGAGAGAAAGGACGTGCCAGGGTCCTATAAACAAGCTCTCATGGGAACTAATAGAGCATAGAGCAAGAACTCACTCACTGCCCCTCCTCCCCCAGGGAGAGCATTAATCCATTCATGAGGGATCTGCCCCCATGACTCAATCAGTTTCCAACACTGCAACATTGGAGATCAAATTTCCACATGAGTTTTGGCAGAGACAACACATCCAAACACCATCACCCCTGATTCTTGCTTGTACAAATTGTTCCCACTGTAAGGTGGAGTGAGGAGGAGAGTCCCTGGCCTGGGTCTCCAGACGCCAAGGAGAGGGATACCCTGATGGAAACTCTCACAGCTGTGAAAGTTGCTTTTCTCGCACAGGCATCAGGTGGCAGCCAGGCTGCCAAGTGTGCCATCTCGAGCACGCAGCTCAGAGCACAGTATTGACACCAAAGCAAGAAGTCTGCAGAAGGAGAATGTCATAGAGAGGCTGTGCCAGGACTGGGCTGGCATCGGGGCCTTCCCAGCACTGGGGTCTCTTGACCTTTGTGAAAATGAGGGCTCTAGAGAGAGGCACAGAGAGGCGCCTCAGAGACGGTCATCTGTGAGAAAACTGGGGGGCAGAATGGCCGTGAGAACAGTCATCTCAGTCAGACACTGCTGTGAATGCAGGCTCCGCAACATATCAGAGAGGGCACTGGAAAGGGCAGCCTTTTCAATGCAATGCCTGCCAAGTGCTATTCAGATGCAGTGAAACATCAGAACATCCATTCCCAAGAGAAGCCGTCCCAGCAGCGATTGTGGGAAAGCCTTAATCCACAGCTTGCATATCGTTAG